CGGGGGGGGGGGTTAGTTCCAGAGAGCGGCATCAACAAAAATACGCGATGAGGTATGCATAGATTGGGGAGGGAGACAAGGTCAACGAATGTCTACCGGATTTCGAAACAATGACTTCCACGGTGTCGGCGCCCCCCGCGGCACCTCCGAATACCATAGCAATTCACCCGCTGCCGTCAGAGATGCACCACCGGACAAAATACCCCCGGGGAATTCGTTGCGCCCACCTCACAAAGTCGATCTATACGTAGGAGACATCCAAGCACGCGCAGACAGCAAAGAAAAGATTGCACGTATATACCTCCCCGTGGGCACCAGGCCCTGAACGTCGGTGATGTGGATGAAGACCTCGCGGGTCTCCGGGTCCACGGAGAATGCGTCGTCTAGGAACCTCGTGCCGGCCCCGTCGATGCAGTACACCCCGAAGCTCGCCCCTCGGAAGTCGTGCCTGTAGTTGTCGTGTTGTCGATATTGTTGTTGGAAATCGTGCTATTTTTTCGTTCATGATGATTTCTTGTTTTGTGCGCGTTCATTTATAGATGCTGTGTCTGGTTGAGCTATCGGATACTGTTGTTGCCCCCTGCCTCAAATAGTCACCGCAGGTCATGCACGCACATCATCTCTCCAGTGCGAGATACAAATGCCAATCCACGAAGTGCACACACCCAAATATCCCGTCTTCCTTAACAAAAACACAATACGTGCCTGCCGAAAGGAGCGGGAGCGCCGACCTCCTCCAGCGGCCGTCTTTTCCCGTAGTTTACCCGTCTTCTCGCCCTCTCCCCCCCGAGTGCCGTCGCCGCCTCTAGCGCCTCCGCCGACCACGGAATCACCCCGCCTTCCTCTCCGGCCTCGTCTCTTCCGACCTCGCCCACTTCTTCCCCGGGCTTCCCACCCCCCTCCTCCGGCTGTCTGCGGGAGGTCCACAGCCCCACGTCAACGAGAATGCACTTCGCTGCCGTGGAGTTGGCCTACGGTTTTCGCAGGGAGTAGTAGTGGGGTGAATGGAACAAACAGCACGTGAGTCGACGCTTCGGGTAGGCTATGTAGGTCAGCTGGCCTGCTGCGCTCAAAGCCGTGCATCTCCTTCCAGAAATGCATCTTGTCTTGGGGTCGGGTGCCCCCAACCTACTCTGTTTCTGCTGTACCGTTGTGTGCGTGCATCTTCGATTTGCATCGAACGCACTAGCCGGCTGCCCACTGAATGGCGTCTCAGAGCGGGGCAAAAAACGCCAACAGGCCTTCCACGCAGTGATGTGTGTGCATTTGCAGCGTTGTGCCAGCGCTACCGCAGCCGTGGAGCGACCCGGCATCGCAGTCGTTCCTCTTACCGACACAGAAGAATACCGTGTTCTTCTGCACCAACTGCTGTGGTAAGGGAAGAGGGAACGGGCGTGTGGAAGCGGCGCCCTGACGCCCGCCCGTATCATTAGGGCGGCAGAGAAAATGAGATATCGGGCGATCAGACTCCTTTGAACCACAGAAAAGAGGGGCCACGCCGGTGTGAACAGTCATAAGCAAATTGCGCACACTGACGGCAGTGTCCACGGCGCATATATCTCCCGGAAACCACCAATCACCAACCTAACCTGGGCGCCTGCGGTTCGAGCCCCCAACGCTAGCTAAGGGGCGACGCCAGCATTGAAAAAACGTACCGGTAACTTTCAATAAGCACGGTCGCGGTGAAGATGCCGTGGTACATAGCATGTGTAGCAAAAAATAACACGGCAATTTATTGCAGTGCTAGTGTCGTCACCTTCCCTGTGATGTCCACCATTACTCGTTTGGCCTCCGGTATCAGGGATTGCTCGTCCCCGCCTATCGCGAATGCCTGCAGCAAGGTTGGGAATTGAGAAACGAAGCAGAGAGGTGGACTCGATACCAGGCACGTGACACAAACAAAACTGCGGCAAGCACACATTTGTTCAACAACAGTAGAATGGCGCCCGTCTGACGAAGGTACCGTCGGGAGAAACAGCTTCAACAGACAGGCGGCCATGGTTCAAATCAGTCCTTTCGTACCTCGTTCAAAAGTAGCGAGCGGCGCGTTCGACGTCCACTTAATAGCAGGCGATCCAACGTAGCACAGCAAGGCCCCTTTGCCACTCCATCCCACACATCCCCACCCCGATAAAAAGGACCATGCACACTCCCTTCTTCCCCTCGCTCCTCGACAAGCTTTTGCTTAGACATGGGTTGTAGCGAAGGGGGGGGTCTTTCTGGCGAGCAGGGCTAGACTCACCCTCAAGGGATGACCGAAACCTTCTTGCTGCTGCGCATCCGCCGCGAGGCGTGCGTGTGGTGGTGGAGTTGGGTCGGCACTGATGGGGTCAGGCGGGAAAATGTAGATGCGCGGGCCTTTCTGGCCGTCGGCGTAGGCAGTGATGCCCATCTCATTTTTGTGCGCGGAGGCAGACACCATCAGAAAGGTGGACGGGCACTACACGGCCCTAGGTTTGCTAGAGGGAGCTGCATTGCCTCAGTAACCTGGCTTCGCCATCAAAGGAGGAGGGAGCAGGTGGCGACGAGCTGAACTAGGCTGGTTGACCATTCGGCGCGAGAATTTTTTTTTTTTTCAGACCAAGAACCTTGAGTGCAATGAGGGAGAAAGCGAGGAACGGACTGGGAAGGACAGCAACGAGAGCGTGTACGGACGGAGCAGGTCGAGTGACGTTTTGCTCGGGCTGACTACAGCGGCGCCGGATGGAGCAATGGCACCGGAGCATGCGGGCGACATCGACCCGTGGCGCACGGACAAACATTTGTGTTGTCAATTTTCTCGTTTTTTTTCTGGCTTTCCGTGTTGGTTTTGTGTGATGCCATCGTCACCGGTTTTGTAGAGAGACCCGTCAGAGATGGCGTGGCTAACCCGGGTGCATTGGTTTTGTGCCTGATCGTGGAAGAC